GAGAAGCTACGAAATGTTTAGTTCATTATTTTAAAAAAGAAACCGACATAATAAGATTAAATACTGGCCGCATTGAATACAATCCCATCTTTACAAAAACTGCACAGGGTGGAGCACAAAGGTGCGCTAATAGTAAATGGTTGACTCCAAACATAAATAACCCAGATATTTGCCCTGTTCGTCTTTTTGAAAAACTAATGGGTAAACGTGAAGAAAATATTAAAACCGAACGCTTGTTTCTTACTCCAAATCCGGCTTGGCAAACTCATGGTTCTTGGTATAAAAACGTTCCTGTGGGAATAAATTCCATTTCAAAATGGATGAAAGAATCCGCAGAAAAAGTAGGTCTAGACACAGTTACTAAAAAAATAACTAACCATTCTGCCAGATCAAGTGCAGTAAGTAACCTTTCAAAAGCTGGTGTAGGAGAACAAGAACTAATCAAGGTCACTGGTCATAATTCTGCAAGTTCGATTAAACCATACTTACAATTGAACCAAGAACATCATTCAAATATAATAAATAATCTTAGAGAAAATACGCAGGAGGAAACACTTAATATAACAAGCAATTCCAAATCCTCAATAAATAATGACTCTCGAAATATTTTTAATAATTGCGTTTTTCATTGTACTAATTTAAATTGTTAATTCTTTTAATATATTCACAATGTGTCAACGATATTTTCGTATATTGTAATAATTAATTAAATTAAATTTTTCAATAGTTTTATGATAGTTTTATTGATCTTTTTTATTGTAAAAATTTGTGAATCAAAAAATAATCTAGTCAAATATAACTCGCGAGTTCCATAAATTAGAAAATAATTTGACAGATTTTGTTCAAACTTGTTGCCATTTGGAAATAGCCACTCGAGCCCTGCGGGCTCTCGTGACTATTGCCTGTCAACAAGTTTTCAAAAAATCTGTCAAATTATTTTCAATTTATTCTCACTCTCTTGTTATATTATTACTGATAATTTTATAAATTTTCAGCGCCCAATCCCATGTACAGGAATATTCATGTAACATTTTAATTGTCAAATACAGGTACCTTTCTTATTTTAAGAGATACAGAAATGGTTAAATAAGTAAAAATGTGCAGAATTTTATTCCGAAAAGTTTCGAAGATATTTCAAGGAAACCAATTTTATGCTTTCACTTTTAGGGCGTATTTCACTTGTTTTTCATAATTTTAGGGCAGAAATGTGCTGTCTGATATTAAATAATATGAGGAATCGATTTTTGTTGTCAGTATTAACGTATCTCTAAAAATGTGTGCTGCTGAGCGGTAGATAACTTTTGTTTTTGTTATGGATGACATATTGAACTTTGCCTCATTGGAAGAAAAGGGAAATTCTCTTTATAACCATGTATAATTTATAAGGTGTTCATAAATACATAACCAATATATCGAATATAATTATAAATTTAATAAAAAATCAAATAGTCATGTGAAACATTTGAATTTTTTCTATAAATTTATTTAATATTTCTTATTTTAAATACTTTTTAACACAGCAACTTTTATTTATATAACAAAAACAAGAGCAACTTAACAAAATTAAATGGTAAATTTAAATTTTATCAGTAATATTCCAGGTGTATACCACTTCCGCATTCGATTATAAATGCTCTGAGTAGCAGATTGAATCATGTCAGGAGTTTATCACTCTTGAAATATTAATTCTCAATTTTTCTTATTTTTAAAATTTTTCCTCATCGTCGTATCGCCCTGTGTATGGCTGATCCTTAACATAACCACAAAAGAAAAAGTACAAGATGACCAAATCGGTACTTCTCGGCAGCCAAGTAACTGATCGCCAAGTACTGGTAGGCACTTCGAATATTTGTGATAAAATTTAAATTTACCATAGAATCCTGTTTTACTTTATCTATGTTGTTTTATTTGCTGCTTTTGTTATTGTTATGAATTCAAATGTTTCACATGGCTACTTGACTTTTTAACTAACATTATGATTATATTCAATATCTTGGTTATTTATTTATGAAAAAAACAAAAATTATACATATTATAAAGAGAATTTCTTTTCCCTTCTAACGAGGCAAATTACAATATGGCGTTGATAACAAAAACCCTGTATATTAAAAAGGAATTAAATGTTGTGTTTCGGAGAAATGAATAAAGTGTTTCTTTATACGGAACACCATTTATATTTATCGTTTTTGTATATGTAGTTATGCACACATGTAATTTTGAGAAGTCCAAAAAAATCCTTCCTATATACTTAAAATTTTCTGAGGGATAATGACCTTTTAATTTTTTTAGCTTGTGATGGTTACATTATATTTAAAATTATATTTCTGATAAAATATACATATACATTTTTTTGCAAAATGAATCGTTTTGGAGTTTTGGTTTATTTAATTACATATGCTTATTTTAAATTTTATAAAATCATTACTCAACGTTTTACGAATAAAATGGAAAATATGTATTTTCTTAAAAAACCATTCAGACATAAATGCATACATTCCAATCTCCAAAATATTCAGTAGCGTTGAAATTCTTCTTAGTGAGGGTGTCTGCCAGCATCTGTGCCACCGGTTTACAAATCTGTGTATCCAATCAGCAAATTTTTGGTCATCATTATTTTTTTCAATTTTACACTTTGTTTCTTGATAATGAAGGGTTCTATGACCTATATTGTTTTAATTTTCAGGAATCTATCACCACCCAAAGGTTGTCAAATCAGGGCACTTTATATACATATACTGAGAGATCCATTTTGGTAATGCATGTATTTTAATTAATTTTTAATTAATAATAATATTGCAAAGGGAATGATGGAAGTTTATCGGGATCCCAACATTGAAATAGAAATCCCAGTCCAATTTCAAAAAGTTAAGATGATACAATTTTTCCAGATTTTTAAATTCATAAATATAAATAAATTAAGAATATTTTGTTCACAATTTTTCCCAATTTTTACTATTTTTTTTATTTCATTATGCCCTTCATCCCTCTTAGCCCCAGATATCAATTCAATTTTCATTCTCAATTTTTACTATTTTTATAAAATTTCTTTATGCTTATTAAACCCCCTTACCACGGACAAATTATAAATGTGTAACAAACGCATTCCCAAATGTTTTTATTATTTTTACTATTTTTTTATTTATTTGTTTTAATCCTCTTGATCCTGGAGTTCTTGAGTTTCCTTAAGGTATGCGATTTATTATGTCTTCTTTTATCATTGTACGAATTGTAAATGTAAAGTAATTTCTTTTACCCGCAGAAAGAATATTTGGTTGTCGGATTATTTTATTGATAATATTAAACTTGAAAGAAGACAGTGAAAGATTTGGAAGTAAAATTTGATTATGAATTGAAATTCACTTCTCATTTTGAAGATTTATTGAGCAAATGTTTTCGAATGAGGTATTCACTAATGTTACTTCTATTTTTCTTTTAGGTATATAACTCTCTGGTGCGTTCAACTTTGGAATATTGTTGCATTATTTGAAACCCACATTTTACCGATCATGTAGACTGTTTAGAGGGTATTCAAAAGAAAATATGTAATTTTATGCTTTTTAAACTGAATATTAGTAAAGATGATTATGAGTATAGTGAAAGATTACAGCTAGTTAGTATTAAGTCTCAAAAATGTAGGAGACACTGTTTTTATTTAAAATTTGTTCATAAACTTTTTCATAACAGAATAAATTGTAGTGAAATATTACCATTATAAGAGTGCCAAACTACACTACCAGGTCAAATGAATTACTCTATTTAGATCAATCTCGCACTAATGTTGGATTATATTCTCTCATTAATGAAACTAGTAAGGCGGTTAATGCGCTACCACAGGATTTTGATATCCTTGAGGCATCATGGTGTCAACTTACTAAGTTCATAGAAGAACTCAGTTTATTACTTGTAAATGATGATTGTCTTGTAGAACATATTAAGATTTACTTATTTGTTAAAGTAACTATGGTTTATTGTAAATATTTTTTCGATCAACTGTTATTATTTCGATTGTATCATTTGGGTTTCCTGTAGATATAAAAATTGAATTAAATAAATAAAATAAAAAGAAATGTGTCGCAAACTCCTTTCTAATTTTTACAATTTTTTTAAATTTCCTTAGCCTCAGAGATTTTGACTTTCCTTGACACATATTTATTGCGTTTCTTTCTTCAATTTGTCAAGGAAGAAAGTAGTAACTTCTTCCTAATTTTCACGTCTTTACTTATTCCATTTAACCCTCTTAGGCATGAATTTTTTACATTACGATATTTATAGCGTCTTCTTACATTTTAAAAAGGAATGTTTATTATCTAATTAAAAGGAATTTTAAATTTTCTGTGAGTAGGTATACATTTGGTTTCACCATTTAACTGGTCCACTGTAATATTTTGTTTTTCATTTCAGATTCTCATTCTGTCTTCAGCAACCTTCTTTGTTTACAACAAACTGATTTGGCAAATATAGGGTGTTTTGTAACGAATAAACCATAATGAAATTGGCGGTTCTTAGAATCAAAACAGGCCGATTGCAAAAGTTAATAATAACAATAAAGCTGGTCAAAGATGAAACAAATCGTTTTTACCCAGTATTTTTCGACACATGGTAGATATTTGGACGAAATTCGTTCTGTAGGAGTTTATCGTGATGCGGAATTCAAATTTGACTAGTATTTTGCCATATTTTATAGATGGCTGCATAAGTATTTTGTTCCCCACAATATGTCATTTCTGATATTAAAAATTGTGTTTTTATACTTTACTATGCATAAAGGATACTTATTCTTATTTGATATCGCCAGGGGCGTGCCCGTTTACGAGAAAATAGGAACATAACTTTGCAATGCAAGTAACCATTAAAATCTAGTCATCTACAAGATGTAAACATTTTATTTTGCAAACAGGCGCTTGGGCTCTTTTACGGCGCTTTTCTCATACAGCAATGAAAAATGATCGCTGGAAATAATCATACAAAAAAGTATACGACCAAAACGACGAATTCCTTACCTATCACCGTAAGATTGATGGCGAAATTTCTGGTGGGCGTCGTCCGGAAGTCCACCCGACACCTGTAGATGCCTTCATCATCTAACTGGACACCGTCCAGGGTGAGGGCCGCCGGTTTGGACACGGTCACGAAGTACGCACGGGGTCCGAACATTTTCGGATCCGACCAGTGCAGTGCCTTGTTGAAGGCTCGACCTCGCACGTCGAAGCTGGAAAGAATGTCAGAGGTCAAATATGATTTAGTTTCGAGTTTTGGATGTAAAAAAAATGTAAATCTCCATATTATGTCATTATTAACGATAGAAATGTTACCCTGACTTATGTTTTGAGACCAAAATCGATTCACTAACAAAAATGTTACAAGATTTTGCTTGGTGGATCGTGCTGGATATACAGGATGTTAATGAAATACTCTGTCAAACTTTAATGATGGATTTTAGCCACAAATCGATATAAAATTCCTATAAAATTAAGATATTATTTTTTAAACAATTATTTACATTATAACAGTATTTTATTGGTTTGTCTCGAATGCATTCCGAGGTATCTGAAAAAGAAGGGCCTCATCTGCCCTTACAGACCCCTGACGAAGCGTTCTAAGTGCGTCTAAGATATTGGAAGATAATTTTAAGACTTTCTATTGTAAAAAATGTTTCACTCAAATTCACTCAGTAATATATCAATTTCTGTCCACACTCGGTTGAGTGAAATTTTTGCTCTATTAGTATGAATACAACTAAAATTTTATGAGTGAAACAGAAGTGAATGAATTCCGAGTTTCTGCAAACTATCAAGTGAGTGACTTTTGACGAATTAAGAGTTGACTTTTTCTCTAATATGAATTAAATTTAACTATTATTGTGCACCAGAGCCCTTCTGCGGCCGCTGCTTCAATTTCAATAATCTCTGTGATTTTGCACCACTTTATATTACCTTTAAATTTTAATTTAAATGTCATTCAAATCCAATCAAATCAAAAAGCCTTTATTTGGCGGGGCTCAGCCAATGGCTGCTTAGACCCAACCACTAGTGAATAAAGTGTTTTTATAAAATAAATACTAAAACATTACAATAATAATTAGCAGTAAAATAACAAAAAGAAGATAAATGTATATTTATCAAGTATTTAACTATTTTAATTACACTAACAACTTTGGCTATCAACAAAGTATTCCTTAAGTTTACATTTAAATGAGCTATTACTTACAGTCAATTTTAAATCTTTTAGTATCATATTATACAGGGTGGTCCGAATTTTATGCAGCAAACATCGAGGACAGATAGATCTCTTTAAAATAATATGTGTTTGCTTTATAAATATTGGTCCGGAACAGCCCCGTTTTAGAGATACATGGTGTTGAAGTTGTTAAAAAAAAATATTATTTGTTTATATCTCCGGAATGTATTAACCGATCTCAATAAAATTTGTTACAGATAATGTATGATAGTAGGCCTTACATTCCCTAAAATATGAGCTTTAAAGGTTCAACCAGTGGTGTACAACTGGACAGTTGTCACCTCATTTTTTACAAAAAAAACGTACGCCACTATATTTTTCACAAGTTATTGTAAAGGATTTATATTCTAATGCCCAAAATACGTAAAACACGTAACTTGAATTTTTTTCCTAAGATTCGCCGTTTTCAAGTTATTCATACCAATACAATTGCCTAGTGCAGACATTTCTAACCATAATATTAGATTATATTTATGTTTATGCTTAAAGTGGGATTTGTAAGCACATCAACAAAATTCTTTACACTCGTTTCCACACCACCTGTGAGGTAGAGTTCCTTACGCGTTTTAGTTTCTCCTGGAAGCCTAACCCACTATTTTTACAAATAAGAACAGCTTAAATCAAAATAATAATAAATGTACATTTACCAAAGGCGAGGGGTAGTGAATTTTCACAATCTGCATATTTGGTCGCAAAAACTCCTCATGAAATTCGGACAAGATCTTTTCAACACGAATTTTCTGTGAACATGTGGCTCGAAATAATTCCCAATACAGTTTGTGGACCTTTCTTCTTGCCACCCCGTCTAAATTCCCAGTCATTTCTAAACTTTCTAGAAAATCATCTATTTGAGTTATTAGAGGATGTTCCATTAAATATGGGACAAAATAGCTGGATACAATGGATGGTGCTCCTGCGCATTCTGGTAGAATACTATAAGAATGGCTTAATGGAAATTATATGGGGCGATGGATAGGTAGAAGACCAAATGCCAATGTCAACCATAATGGTGTAGAGGGTCCAGTGTCTTGGCCAGCCAGATTGCCATATCTAAACCCCCTGGACTTCTATGTTTGGGGTTATCTGAAAAGTAAAGTTTATTCTACTCCAACAGATACAGGAACACAATTATTGCAACGAATAGAAGACGGATGTAATGAATTAAAAGAAAACCACCCATTAATTCCATTAATAGAAGATGTTAGAAATGTATCGATGTGGGTGGTTCGCATTTTGAACAATTGTAAATACGTAACGTTAATTTTGTTTCTTGTTTAGTTGCTGTTGCTTGGTATTTAAATTGTTCTTATTTGTAGAGTATTAGGCCTCCACGGAAAACTAAAACATGCCAGGAACACTACCTCACAGGTGGTGTAGAAAGGAGTGTAAATAATTTTGTCGATGTGCTTACAAATTGCACTTACTTTTAAGCATAAATATAAATATTCTTGTATAAATGTGCAGCTAAATAAGAATATGAGGATTTAAAAAATGAGGATGATTGCATAGGTATATGCAACAGTAGTTCATTTCTCAAATCTCTCTCATGTACATTACTACCGAATAATAACTTAGATCTGAAGTACGGTGGATTACTCGTATTTATAACTATGTATTAAATTAATGTAATGAATATTTCTACGCACATCCAATTTAAACCAACCATTTTTAACAAAATAAGGAGTAATGTGATCTCTTCTTTTGACATTTTCTGCGTATCTCATACATGAATTTTGTAGAACTTGTATTTTATGATAGTCAGAACCTGACAAGCACGGCCCATAAACAATATCGCAAACAGAGGTAGAATCAAAGACTCTTTCAATTGCAATTTAACATTAGTTACGAGAACATTTTAAAATTTAAATAGACACTGCCAGCGAGAATATGAAGTTCTTATGACATTATTTACATGACACGTAAAAGTTGATGATTATCAAAGGTTAAACCAAGATTTTTATTGGCACTTTTAAATTGTTGGGGAGTACCAAATAACATAGCAGTGGTTTTAGTTGAGTTTAGTTTTAAAGCGTTCTTCTTGGACCAATCATGCGATATTTCAAAATCTAAATTTAACTTATTAAAATTAAAATGCTGATTTTCTGGTTTAAAGGACATGTACAGTTGAGCAGCGTCCGCATAACAATGCATTTTTGATTGAATATGCGAATGTATGTCAGCTGTGTATACAGCAAATAACAGGGGACCTAGGATAGACCCTTGAGGCACGCCACTTTTAATTTTTACTTCACTAGAGAACACATATCTTTCTTTATTTTAACTACCTGATTATGATCACATAAATTATTTTTGAACCATAATGAAGAATCACTAGAAACACCATAGTAACTTAATTTTGCTAAACGTAAATTGTGGTCAAGACAGGTAATATATCATCTGTTATACCCAACAAAAAATCTTGCTAAAAATTTCGAAACTGTTGATAATATGCTAATAGTCCGTAAATCATTTAAGTTGACAATATTAGATTTCTTTGGCACTGGAGAGACAACGACATACTTTCAATCGGCGGGAATATTCCCTTCTACCAAAGAACTGTTAACAATGTGTGTTAAAGCATTATCACAAAATGGAAAACACATTTTTAACATATCTGCCGTTATGTCATCTTACCTTTAGCATTAGACTGTAATTTATTTACTATTGCCATAATATCTTCATTACTGGCTAACTTAAGAGAAAAGCTATGATTTGCATTTGACCATTTAGAATTGTTGAATTCATTTATTAAACTGTCATCAGCCTTAGGTGAAGTAATTGAAGTAATAAAGTCATAATGAGGATATTTACTCCGACTTAGCTACAAGTGCACCAAATACAAGTTTATCTGCAGAATTTATTTAACATGTATCTGTATTTGAGTGAAAGTAGTCAGTGTTAGTTCAAATTTTATCACAAATGAGTAAAATTATGAAAATGAATATTGAGTGAAAATGTAATCAATAATTTCACACAATCCTTCGTACCTTTATTGCTTTAAATCACACCGATTTTTGTACAGTGTATGTATCCTTATATTTAAAATAAGCAATCACGTACTTTTAAATCTAGCCTCTAACCAAATCTATCGTATTTTGTGGAGAATTGAAACAGAGTCCGAAACGCAGACTTATTTTTCAGGCAAAACAAGTTGAANTATCTTCATTACTGGCTAACTTAAGAGAAAAGCTATGATTTGCATTTGACCATTTAGAATTGTTGAATTCATTTATTAAACTGTCATCAGCCTTAGGTGAAGTTATTGAAGTAATAAAGTCATAAACTACTAAGCTGCCACAGTGGTGGCAGCTCTGTTTTATCTGTTTTAGAGACATTATTTTAGGTCATGGGAATAGACAAAGACAACGTACGACAACCATAGAATGGAGTGGGATCATTCAATAATGAGGATATTTACTCCGACTTAGCTACAAGTGCACCAAATACAAGTTTATCTGCAGAATTTATTTAACATGTATCTGTATTTGAATGAAAGTAGTCAGTTTTAGTTCAAATTTTATCACAAATGAGTAAAATTATGAAAATGATATCGAGTGAAAATGAATATTGAGTGAAAATGTACTCAATAATTTCACACAATCCTTCGTACCTTTATTGCTTTAAATCACACCGATTTTTGTACAGTAGTGTATGTATCCTTATATTTAAAATAAGCAATCGTGTACTTTTAAATCTAGCCTCTAACCAAATCTATCGCATTTTGTGGAGAATTGAAACAGAGTACGAAATGCAGACTTATTTTTCAGTCAAAACAAGTTGGACGCATAAATAGAACAATTACTTTCCCTGGGAGAGTACTGTCAAGGTGGTAAATCATAGGAACCGCGTTATTTCGTGCCATTACTTTAAACGAGACCCCCAATCGGTTTTTTAATATCCCCGTAAGTAGGGCGAAACAGAAATTTCGTGCTATCATATTTAAAGCGGCGTAATTTGCATAGTCAATGTTCT